TTAAAAACATTTTATTTTCCTACCAAGCTGGTCTCATTCAGTTCTGAATGTGTTTGTCCTCCTCCCCGCCTGGAAAAGCCCTGCAGGAACAGAGCTCACAGCTGCAGACAGTGGGACCGATGGTGGCTAGTATCGCCAGAAAAGGGACAGCATGTGCGGAAGGATATTGAGTAGATCTAAAGGATCTCAGTGAGGGCTGCAGATTTAGAGGCCAACCAGAAACACACCTCCAATACACCTCAGAGCTCAGCCAAGAACAAAACTCTGTCCCCTAGGGTGGCCAGCCCTGCCTCCCTCTGTGGCCTCAGCTCCTGGACCACCACTGGACCACCACGGGCCTCCTTGCTGCTCCCCAGACAATCCCATCCCAGGGCTGTGAACACGCCGTTTCCTCTGCCTGGAACACAGACAATCCCATCGCTTGCTCCCTGGCTTCACCAGGTTTCCGCTCAAATATCCGCTTCTTATCCCAGAGAAGTCTTCTTGGACGGCCCTGTCACTCCGTGCCCTCTCCCAGCTTCACTCTTCCCCAGAGCACCCTCTGCTCCCTGACACCATGTTAAGCATTGAGCTTCCCTGACGGGGCCCTAGGAAGCTCCATGAGGGCAGGGACTCGGGCTGTTTGGTTTGTTGCTGTAAGCCCACAGCCCAGAGCAGTGCCTGGTGCATTTTCGGTGCTCAACTATTTGCTGAAAACTCTGTGAAGGAGTGAACAAAGGAATGAATGGAAAACTTTAGTGAAAACCAAGTCCCCACATTCTCTAGCCCGCCCGTGCTGGAGGATTAGGGCAGTAACAAGAGTCAGCTTGTGCTGTGGCTGCAGCTGTGCTGTCTGTCACCCTGCCCTGATCAGATCAGCCCTGCGGCTCCCACTTTGGAAGGAAGACTTGTGCGGGGACCTGCAGCTCCAAAACTCGACAGTCTGCAGCACTCGGGACTTGTCCAGACTGTTGCTGTGCAGATCACGGAGGCCTGGCTGGGTTCCTGCCCCTGTTTTGCTAGGGCCTCAGACAGGCTGGGAAGTGACTTACCCACAGTCCTGTGTAGATTCACAGGGTCACACGAGGTCAGAGCTGGGTAGAGTTGGTGCTGATCTCAGGACCAACCTATGCCATGCAGGTAGTGCAGGGCAAATATTCGTGCGACTCTGGGGTCTGGCAGATCCAACCTCCGCCAGCTGTGTGACCTTGGAGAATTATTTGAAAGACAATACTTGAAAAGCACAGCTTTTCTCATGTGTAAAATGGAACCAAAAATCCTTCCTTTAAACAAGAAGCTTGTCTTCCTGTTCAGAACACTTTACTTTCCATTCTTTATGATATTACATTCAAATTCCTACTACCACCAAAATCGGGTCAACACAACCGACCTGGTGTGATCCCTCCGGACTCCTCCAGCACGCCTCCTCCTTCCCACCTGTGTGCCCGGAACCGCCACCTTCTTTCCTCCCATCTGAGTTTACTAAAGCCCCAGGGGCAGGTCTCTTCCTTGACTTAGGCTTGACTGGGCACTCGGGGATGTATGAATTGCATGTTAACAGGCAGGAACCAAGTTTTGACTCTTCAACCAGAACGTGGCATCCTTGAGGGCAACTGTCTCGTCTCCTGTGATGTTCCCCACACCAGCCCTTAATCTACAAAAATTCCTGTTGATGGACTCACTTGAAAATGCCCCCAGATATTTCCTCTAGTTCCCAAGGGAGGGAAAAGTAAGATATAGAAATAAATTGGAGATGAATTCAAATCACTCCTATCTGTGGGCTTGGTCTGTGTGAAAAAAAAAAAAAAAAAAAAAATCATCTCTATCTCCAAACCAGACTTGACAAGTAGAGGAACGCCCTAAAAACAATGCACAGAATAAATCACAAGAACCAGCCTCACTTAAAGATTTCAGGAAGGAAAACACAGTTTAACTGAAAACTGTTAACTGGTGTTTAAGAAAAAAACACAACAAACAGCCCGGAAATGTTTTTAGGACCCGTGTCTATCACAGTCCCTCAGGGGCTGATTTGTCCTTCAATGGGGTCTTCCTAACACCTGTTTTTACTGAAAATCAATAGCCCAACATCAGAGCTTCATGAGTGAGAAGGAGAGGGAAACCAGACACAGAGGGACACGGCTGTGAAGCACACCACCCAGATGGCAAGTATTTATTATATAATATTATAAACACTAAATATTACTGGCCAGTGCCCTCTGACCACGAGAGTGGGCCACCGGGAAGGTGACCCAAAAGCAAATGGAGTTCCCATGTCACCAAGATCTCCCTCCTGCCTTGTTCCTCTCTCTGGTCCATGCCTCTACTTCTCCCACCCACCTGCTAAATACAGCTGATAAAAAATCCTTGCACAACCCTCCAGCCAAACTAATTCCACATTATTTCAAGTGAGACCTAGGACCAACACATATTCCTTTCTTGTGCTTTTTTAAAGAAGAATATTAAAAGACAGAACTTAGAAAACTCAAGTGAGATGGAAAAGAATTAGATCTAATACCTTTTGATTATAACCTCATATTAATCTTTTTGAATGCAACTCTACATCTACACAAAGAAACTGTCCCTTTAAATTTCAAACATCAACTTAGTTCTCTTTCTCTCTCAGATTTCGAAAAACAGGACTTGCTCATTACAACAGAGTCACAAAACACAATCACAGTCTACATAAAATCCTATACACAAAAATGTTCATAGCAGCATTATTCACAGTAGCGAAAACAGAGAAACAACTCAAATGCCCATCAAATGATAAATGAATAAACATAACGTGGTATATTCATATAGTGGAATATTATTCAGCAATGAAAAGGAATGGAGTACTGACCCAGGCTACGACATGGATAAACCTTGAAAACATTATGCTAAGTGAAAGAAGCCAGGCACAAAAGGCTACATGTCATACGGTTCTATTTATATGATATCCAGGACAGATGAATCTAAAGACACAGAAAGTAGATGACTGGTTGCCTAGGGCTGGGGAAAACGGGGAGCCTGGGGGGTTGATAATTTAGGGGTATGGAGTTTCTTTTTGGAGTAATAAAAATGTTCTAAAACTGACTCTGGTGATAGATGCACAACTCTGTGAATACCCTAAAAACCACTGAATCATATATTTTAAATGGGCAAATTATATGGTATAAGAATTATAATATAGCTATTTAAAAAAAAAAAAAAAGGACAAGGAAAAAATACCCCACAATCACATTAGTGACAATCACAAGTTTGTGGGAGTGGCTGCTGTGGAAGTTTGTCAGTTGGAAACATCCGCAGTTAATGTGTTCTGGAGGCTATTTGTCCTGAGTTGACCAGAGAGGTGCTCCAAAGCAGTGCTCAAGAAGATGTCCCCCAGGACAAAGGACAGGTTTTCTTTCACTGTCTGCCGTTGTAACCGTAATATTTTAAAACATTCAGATATTAACAGGCATTTACGAGTGACGTGGTTTATAAAATAACTGATTTTGACCCTTTAGACTCAGGTGGCATCAGTTACCAGAACTAGGCTGAGACAAAGTCATGTTCAGGGAGCTTAGAGTTTGTCAGTGTGTGCGTCCTCAAACAGGTCATGAACCCCCTCAGCACTTTTCGAAATTTTCAAATCGAACTTTTCCAATTTGTGGAGGTTATAGGTCTTTCGAAGGAACAACAAAGCCACCTTGCATCAACGGGTCCACATGATGATGCAGGTAATAATGGGCATGAGGCAAACAGTAATACAGACAAATTTTACCAGTGTGTGCCAACAATTCAAGCTACATGAAATAAGGAAGGTAAAATAGCATCATGTAAAGTTAGGATATTAAATTTGGAGCCAGGGGCTGTCTGGGGATTGTGTGTTTGTTTCCCATTAATTTCACTTTGTCTCTTTCTCAGGTTGTGAGACCGAGAGCGAGTGTGACTCATCTACCCATGGGTGGCCAGCCTCACTTTCTGATAAGAGACCTGGGGCTGCCACTTTGGCTTGCTACATCTTAGCTCTGGAAGTAATTTAATCTCTGAGCCTTGATTTCCACATTTGTAACAAAGGAATAATATCATCTATTTGACCAGGTTTTTGTGGGGACTGAATGAGATGTAAACTGTGTAGCATAGTGCTTGACACACGAAGGTTAGGGTGAAACTGGCACAGGTTGGGGTGAAGGACAAGTTCCCTGCGAAGAAAGACCTGTGACATGTGACACTGAGGAAAGGTGTCACAGAATCCTTATCAGGCAGGGGCCCCAGAGGGGTTGCAGGCCAGTGGAAGGATATCACCAAACCTCATAGGTGCTGAAAATCAGGGAGGTCCTTCGCTAGACCCCTCGCTAGAATGCCAAGAAGTGGTGTAGGTGCCCTTAGTGTTAAGGACCGAAAGTATCTTTATGCTCGAATGTAAAACAGAATTATTGTCTGTTAAGGGTAAAGCTAATAACTGGGGCTGAAATAGAACGTAAACAATCTCTACTCCACTGCTGTGACTACAGCACAAACAGTTTTACGATCAATAAGGTGGAGCTATGAAATCACCAGCTGTGGGAAGAAGGGAGGAGCAGTGGGAGAAGCCTAGCAAGGGAGCCGCAGGGTCTGGGTGAGCACCTGGGCTCTGCTGGGCCGGGGGCAGCTCCCTGGCGGGACATGAACAGGCCACCCTGTGAGCACCTGGAAGAAGTCCACCAGGTCCTTGCAAAGAACACCTCACACGCCCCGCTTACATGTGATGAATTAAAGGGAACAATTCTGGATGGATACTGCCTCCCTGGATGACAAAGGGGATGGGCCCAGGGTGCAGGCAGGAAGGGACACCACACTCAGAGTGCAGAGGATCACCCTCTTGCCCCCATCCCCTCTGCCACATTCTAGCAATACTTCTGGTTTCACTGCTCTTGTTTTTTGTTTTTGTAAACAAACTAAAAATCAACAAACTACCCCAAATTCAACATGTGTGACTTACACCAATTTCTATATTTAAAAAATACAAATAATTTGGAACAAATAAGAGAAAAATGCTGGTCAAGTTCTAAACTCACCCACGGCTGGTGGCATTCATGTCTCTAGGAGAAGGGAATCCATTTTCTTGTTCCCCTGCTGTCCAGCCGTAGGTTGGCCTGCCGTGCAGAGAAGTCCAGGGCATGCTGCCATCTGCAGGCAAAACAAGGAAAAGCACAAGTTATGGCTCAAATCGCCCATTTAAAGCCCCTGGCCTGGGCCTTTCCTCAGGCAGCTGGAAGACTCAACCTGGTGCAAGAACCAGGAGAACTCACTCAGTTCCATGTTTGGGACCCCACTGCAGAGTTGCAACAGACTTCGTCAGTGAAAATTCTAAACTATCAAGGGCTCAAGTATTTCTTGACAAAAACAACAGCAAACTTTTACACAGGACTCACCATGTGCCAGACACTGCTCTAAACGATTTTCACTTATTAACGCATTTCACTCTCAGAAAAACAGGTGACTATTTTAGAAGGTCTCTGTCAGTTGGTCTGATTATTGAGCTAGGTTGGATAATTAAAATGCAGAACTTGATAAAACCTGATTTCAAAGGGAGGTCAGATATGAAAACTCTGAGAGAGACTCTGAGGTCATTCATTCTCCAAATATTTATCGAGTGCCTGTTCTAGACCAGATGCTGCTCTAGGACCTGGGAATAGAGGCATGAGCCTAAAAGACAAAGTCCCTGCTCTCACGGAGCTTCTGTTCTGGTGGGGGGAGGTGATGCTAAAAGAGGTGATAAAGGCTGTGCAGACGCAAAAACAGAATAAAAGAGCTAGAGAATGATGACAATGCTGTTAACATCATCCATCCATCCATCCATCCATCCATCCATCCATCCATCTATTCATTCATATTCCCAGGTTTCCCAAGTACTTACTAACCATCTACCACAAGCCAAGCACTGTGCTGGGATGCAGTGATGGGCAAAAGACAGACATGGTCGTTGCCTGCACATATTGATCAAACGATCACCTAAATAAATGCAAAGCTGTTAACCTGTGGTAAGTGTGAAAGCAGAGTGGTACAGGTCCCTCTGAGGGCATCCCAGGGAGACTTGACCTTGTTTGGAGCCTTGGGAAGGCTGGAGAGGGAGTGTGTGTAGAAGCGTCCTTGGCAAAAAACACACTGTGTGCAAAGACTGGATCTTGAACACCAGCCAGAGGTGGAGTGGGGAGAGAAGAGGCAGAAGGAGCTGGAGAAGGAGTGTGGGCAGTCCTTCTTTGCTTGGTCCTCCCAGACACAAAGGGCCTCTGAGAACTGGAGCTCAACACAAGGGTCCTAGACAGAGGTATAACGTGGATGGATTTGTGTGTTGCCCTGCCAAAGATGATGTCTGAATTTCTGGAAGCTGTGAATATGTTCCCTTACATGGCAAAATGGACTTCACAGATACAATTAAGTTAAGAATCCTGAGATGGGGAGATTATTCTGGATGTAATCACAAGTGTCTTTATAAGAGGGAGGCAGAAGGAGGCCAAATACAGAAGAGGAGTTTCAGCATGACGCAGCATGAGAAAGACTTATTGGTTTAAAATATGAGGAAGCAGCTATGAACCAAGGAATGCAGGAAGCCTCTAGAAGCTAGAAAGGCCTTCTTTGCTGTTACAGCAGCAATAGGAGACTAATTCATACACTGACTTCTGCTAATAAACAAAAAGACTAGAAGTAAGGGGAAGGGGAGGCAGGGGCCAGGCAAATGTCATTTTGTTATCCAGGCAAGGGATGGGTGAGAGCTTGAACCACAGCAGTGGCAGTGGGGGTGGAAAGGAGTCGGAGGACCCCAGGAGGGCGGGAGTCGGCCATTCAAAGGTCTGCTGCAACCTGGCAGATGTTAGTGGAATGCCACAGCAGGCCTCTCTCTGTCTCAGGACCAGGCCAGCTCACCCTGGGCAGAGCCCAGCACCCATTGTGGGAGGAAGCAGCTCTCACCAGGGCAGTACGATCACTCCTCCACTCACTTAATGGGGACCTGCCAACTCCATTCCCATGAAGGAGTCCAGGGGCTTCCAGGAAGAAGCTCTAAGAAGTAACGACAACCAGGAAATTTCTACCATGCAAAAGGGAGCAATTATTTGTACCAAGCATTTGGCTTTGCACAAAGAGATTTCGTAATCCTGGAAATGAGGCGTCCAAATTTAAACACACACACATCTCCAACTCAGGTGATGCATAAGAACAATTAAATCCGATGTGTAGAAATTTCATGGTCAGTAGAATAATGCAGAAATTAAAGAAAGAGAATAAATGAGAAGCTAGGATATCCTCTTATCATCTACTTCATTTCTTTTTAGTGATGCAGACCTACTGAAAAAGTGGGGTCCTAATTTGCTCCTGCCTAATAGGGCCGTGAGAAAAGGCAATAAAAATGATTCCGAAGAATTTTAGCTATATTCTCTCTATTCCCCCCAAAGTATAACTATACACCCACCAAGACTTTGGAGTGTACTGTGGGGTGACAAGGAGGTCTTGAGGACACTACTCCCCCATCCCAGCCCCAGGTGACTTTGCAGCAGGCCTCAAACTTAACCTGATTCTAGGAGCACATAAGGACCCAGGAGTGCCTGAAGATGGCAAAATACCAGGTAGTCTGGTATTTTATCTATATCTAAACATAGATATATGTATGTAGGTATGTATCGTTTTTCTGGTGACAAAAGCAACATATGTTTATTATTGGAAAACACAAAAATCCCCTGTAGTCCCAACCATCCAGAGATAACTTATTTGGAAATATTTTCTTCCAATCTTTTTTCTAATAATTTTAGTGTGTGCGTGTATGTGTGTGTGTGTGTGTGTGTGTCTATATCTAAATCTATACTTTCTTTCTAACAATATTAGGATACTGTGTTTATTTTTCTCTGCAAACAATTTTGTTCTATCTAGCAGTATATAATTTTTCCATGTCATTAAATATAATTTTTAATAGTTGGCAGTATTCCATCCTAGAAAAGTTTCAAAATCACTTAAGGAATTCATTATTGGGGGACAACCTAGTGGTTTCTAAATTTATAATTGTAGAAGTCCCACTGGGAGGAACAGCTCCAAATATAAGAACATCTCCAATGAAAATCTGTGTCTGAGCTCTGATTATTCCTTAGGGTCTTGTTTTGCACTTTTCAGTCATCTATTCATCACCATTACTACTTCGCCATAATTATATACTGTCTGTACTGTACTTAACATTTCTCTTTAAATCAACTCATTTTTGCCCTTAAGTAAATGTACAAACCTTACTTACTATTGTAAATGGAAAACCAGCATCATATGTCATGAATGAAGCAATTGTAAAAATAAATACAGTGGAAAACGAAACAGCATGGTGAAAATATAGTTTAAATACTGCTATTCCCTGGCTCATTCTTTTATATCAAAAGAGAGATTAGGAAGGTTTAGAGACGTGTTAAAGACATATGAGCACCAAGCTGAGATTCTTCTCCTTCCCTTGCTCAGAGGATTGAAAAGAAATCGAGCAGGGGAATAACTTCTCACCATGTGAGTCAGGGTTAGACGATGCTGCAAATGTGTTCCATATAGAATTACTCTGCACCACCTGAAGTGACTGCTCATGGGAATCGTGTCTTAGGATATATTCCTGGAAGTAGAACTAATGGGATAAAAGGTATGGACACTTTAAAAAGCTTCTGATAAGTACCAACCAAGGCAGTTTTACTATGAGAGTGCCCATTCTACTTCTCTCAAATGCTAAGGATAAAGAAAAATGTTAAAATGTTAAGCTTTTTATTGTAAGATATTTTGCAGGGCCATTACATGAACCTTCGGTTTGTGGTAAGTTTACACAAACTGATACTGCACTTGGTTTAACCGAGCTAAAGTAAACTCAGTAAAACACGAGGAAATGACTTTAGCGTTTGCAAATATTTCAGAATGTTTTTATGCCAGCAAAGGTCAAATGAGGATCAAAATAGCCTGCATTCCACAGTATACTTTTGAGAAATCAGAGACCCAGGGAAGCATTACTCATGAGATACAAATCACTACAAATTTTGAGTAAGTCAATGAAAACTCTAAAAGAAACACATGTTTAAGCCCTCCTATCCTGGTGTGATAGGCAACTGCACAAATAGATTATAGATTGATGCAACTGTTAACATTTATAAAATAGAAAAAGAAGACAATTTTGAAGTGTAAAGAGTTAATAATAATAGAAAGCTTCCAGATTATTTCAACAATTCCTGGGCAGATACCCATGTGTGTATGTGCCTGTGGGGGAAATGTGGGGGAGGAGAAGATAATTAAAAACATGCTAAAAAGTGTCTCATGTCTGGAAAGACATTAGAGATTCTGATTGATTTTTGGCATTTGTAGGAAAATATAAGTTTATCTATGCTTAAGAATTTAATGAGCGCTCCTAGTAAGATACAGAATTCCAATTCACTAAATAAAAAGGTAAGAAAGAATAGAGACAAAGACACCTTGATAAATCCAGAAAAAGGCATAAGAAAAAAGAAAAAAGAAAGAATTCATGATGAATATATGGCAAAACAAGATGGCAGGAATAAAGCCACACTTATCAGTGATCAAAATAATATGAATGAATTAAATGCCACTATTAACAAACCCAAGACTTTCAACCTAATGGCTATCAATAGAAAGATGGATAAGTAAAGTATGATGTTCCATTTTAATGGATGTGTGTATGCATCTGCATACACCACAGAAAGAGGCCCATGCTCTACCTAGTTTAGAAATTGTAGAAAATTGTAGAAAAAATGTAAAAGCAGAGAAAAGGGTCCAGAAAAACACACTAATCTGGTAACCGTGGTTGCCAGTAAAGAGTGGAATTTTAGGGGACAGGAGGGGCTTTCTCGTCTCACTCCATGAGTGTCTACGTTGTTTGAATCCGTTATAAGCAGCATGTAGCCAGAAAAACAAGGCAAATGAGATAACAAATATAAGGACAGAGCCAATGAAATAGAAGATATATTGAACAAAAAGTAAAGGTGGTTAACAAAACTAAAAGTATTTCTCTGAAAACAGACATATCTCTAGGAAGATTGATCAAGAATAACTGATAGAAGATGGGGGTGGGGGGGAAGACTACAGAAAAAAAGAGGAAATTACAAATACAGCAGACATTTTAAAACTTATAAAAGAATAATGTAAGTAATTATATGACACTACATTTTGA